TCCGATCTCCAGAACCCATCCCCGTGCTGGTAAGAGGCTTCTTGAAAAAAATGAGATGAGTGGAACGATCGAGCGAAAGGACTCCGATGCCCGGAAGAAGCGAACTCTCGACGAGGTTGGACGCTGGCCATTCTCCTCCGGCTCCTCCCTTTACAAGGGTCCCTGCTGTAGCTGGTTCCTCCTGGGTCCGGGCCTCGGGGCGCGGGGCCCGCGCATCACGAACGAAGAATGGAGCCGCGCCTTGGCGACGTCGAACGACGCCCCCGAGGCTATCGAGGCTGATCGCTCCGGGACACGGCCCGGAGGCTTGCCCTATACGGCCGACACCTGGGCGTCCTCGTCGTCTGTGAACAGGACAAAGTGCGTGTGTTAGAGTGGCCTGATCTTGCATGGGTGTGAGCGCGCGCGCGCGCGACTGTCGACCTGCCATCGACACTACTATCGAGGAATTATTGCGGAGCGGATTAGTATAAAGTTAATAATCGCCTGTACATTTCCAGCTTGCGATGTGAATTTTGATAAAACTTGCCGCGCGATGATAGCAACGTTGGCGTTGCTGCAAGTCAGACGCCCCGACACTTTCGTACGGATAGTGTTGAGGAATTTCGTAAACGGCGTTTATGGTAAAGTCACAACGCTTTTGCACCATTCGGGATGATAATCTTATACAGAGATTGTTGATACCAGATATCCAAATACCTTGGTTATTATAATCCAGGGGACAACACCAATCATATGAAAAGAAGTGAAGGATGCGAAGGACGAAGGCCGAAGAACAATTATTTCGCCATATTGCGCAATGAAAGCTACAATAAATATTTCGTTCATCTAATGGTTAATTTACCGAAATATTGAACGTTATTACGTGTCCAAGTTAAGTAACTCGAAAAATAAAATTACCTCGGGAATTAGAGCGAATTGTATTTCGCAATGTATATTATTATGAGATCAGCGTCAGATTATAAATAAAAACAGTTATTTAATTTCAATTAAGTTTTCATAATTAACAGTTTGCGAACTGTAATGAGTTTTATTTGATTTATTGATGATGGATCTACTTTTTTCCAATCGCCGTACATAGATTGAATTGATTTTATTTACTATTTCCAGGTTAGATCGAAGATCGATGATTTAAAGTAAATGTCATAAAAACTTTTAACACGAAGTAATAAACGACATTAATATTAGGCTAATATTAACGCAAAATGGAAAATTATTTCATCGAATTTCATAAAAATCTCTGCTTTATATGATTAATGGAAAATTATTTTCAGTAATAATAACGAATTAAATAAATATTACTCGTGGGATGATAAAATAAAATAACGAATGTTAAATAATGAGAATCTTAATTAAAATTGTATATTGCAGAGCACATTATAGCGTCTTGTATAAACATATTAAGCAAAATACTTATGCGAACACGTTGATACGTATGAAATACATAATAATCGACATTACCGACGGATAAATCTATTTAAATTGACAATAATACATAATTCATAAATCAACGTATATAATGTATTAAAAGAAAAAACTCGACCTCATCCAACCGATGTGGCATTTGAAAAAAAAAAAAAAAAAAAGATAAAAAAACGATAAAAAGAAAACGAAAAAGAAAAGAAAAAAAGCTAAGAAAGAAAGAAAGAAAGAAAGAAAGAAAGAAAGAAAACATAAGTGTCAACTATAAATTATTACGGTCCGTGACAATATTATCCACTGCGGAATAATAAAGTATCCAAACATTTAATGCATTAATAAAACTCTCCAATGTAATAATTTTTTCGTGAGTCGAAACTAAATTGAATAATTTATTAGTTACGTACACGTTTTATGCATTTTAAACTTTCACTTTTATACAACTGTTACAGCCACTTGACTTTCACGAAATGTGTTATTATGTGGCAAAAATATTGTATTGCAAATCAACGTGGCCCGTACCAAATGAAAAGTATTAATATTATTTTATTTCGATCATAATATGATTTATTTTGCATTTTCTAGAGCATTCGATTAATATATCTGACATTTCAGTTAAACGTATCGGAAATCTTCGTTCCATTGAAACAACGAAATTATAATCAACAAATTTTAATTTTCGATCATTCAATGCCCTTTTCATCAAAGTCTATTTAATCACCGGACAAATGACGAAAACAGATTTTCGAAGAAATGCATGTTTATCTTTTATATTTAAAGGGGAATTTGAATGAACTGACAAATATCATCAACATCTGCTTTTGAAAAATAGACTCTACTCTTATATATTGTCTGGAAATAAAATTTTACCATGCCAAATAATAATGAAGTAAATTGCTAATTGCTTTCTAATTATGAAAAATGCGAAAGATCTGTAATATTATCCAATACACAGTAGGTAAGTAATAAAATTGAATTAATTTTGGTAATTCTATCGTGACTGTAGAAGAAGAAAAAAAATATATCATTTTAATTAGTGGAACTGCTGGCTATATTAAAAATGAAAGTAAATTAGCTATAATGAAGATGCAGTGGGTGAAATTAGTGCATATTGGCAATTTTTGTCTTATTGAAATCGCTCCTCCAATACAACATTGCGACTCAAAGAATTTCTACGATCTTTTAGTAGCGATGAATCTGACGTATTATTTATTACATAATACGTGGTCAACGCACGAAATAACATATTCGTACATTAGATTGGAAGCGTATTACTTTTTTTTTTTTCTCTTCCCTTCTCTCCCCTCTTCGTCGCTCTTAAAAAATGGTAGAAAGAGACTGTCTGGTTTTAAATAAATATGAATAAGTTGGCCTATCTCAAAGCAGAAAAAACATGCGAAATAATATATACGTCGCAATAAGCAAATGTTCGCATGATGATGAGCGTTTTAATAAATCAAGGGAATGTCAAGTGTCTTAACAATTAATAATTAATAATTGATAATTGATAATTAATAATTAATAATTGATAATTAATAATTGATAATAAATAATTAATTATAAAATAATAAATAACAAATAAATTCTCTTAATTGATTTAATGGTGAATGCAGTGTGACAATGATTTGATGAACATAAGCAAGCGAGCAAGTGCAATTGATAGTAAAATGCAATGTTTAATTATATTTGAAATTTTCTCTCTGTCTGTCTGTCTGTCTCTCTCTCTCTCTCTCTCTCTCTCTCTCTCTCTCTCTCTCTCTCTGATAAAGACAAAGTTTATAAATAAATACAATTTGGTCGTTGAGGCCTCAAAGCTAATAATACCAATGAAAAATACATGTGAATGTATAACCCACCCACCCATCCATCCACGCATTCAAGCACCAAAAATCGTCTACCTGCATTATTTATATTATTGCTTTATTATATTTTTCGTTAAATGGTTAAGTACGTCACACAGCAACATGTAGCGAGAGAGAAAAATTCATTCAGCGTACATCAAACTGATAAGTCATTCACGAGCTTATTAAAATTAATATTTCTCTTTGTCTTTATACTTTCATCAAGCATCCTCTCGTTATTTACAGCGACATGGTTGACAAATGCATTGGTGCACAAAAACTGCACGCTGCATTTGGTCGATAATTTTTATGGTATGGCAAATAATATGGCAGTCTTATGGTCCTCAACGTCCTTTTGCACTCAAATCAGAATATCCAACTATGCACTTGGAAGAATAAATGTTTGTGCCCATTAAATATCGGCACTAAGGACATTGATACAATGTGTGTTCGACATGAGTATAAATGAAATGAAAATGCGAGCAAAAAAACTGACGGATGAATTAAGGAATCGCGTGGGTCGAACAAATGTATTTTCCAAAAATTACTTATCTCAGCTTATCCCTTTTACAGTAGCATTATTAAGTAATTTATTTGTAAAGTTTTTATTTTATTTATTTTAAGATTGTATTATGCTTATATGGGGGGAGGGGATATGGGGGGAGGGGGGGGGGAGAGGGGGGGAGGGGGAAGTAGGTAAAATGAAAGCGGACACAATCGATTCGAAAATGTTCCTTCCTTTTTATGATCAGAAAAATAATGCTCGATACTTGCGCGGTAATTGAAGAAAATTTTCAAAAGTCTCGGCCTATTCAATGCTATTTAAATTTTATCCATGGATTTTATAAAACTTCGCTAGAACATTATCCAAATTATTATCAAGATTAATATTAACAAGTACTTCCCGATGATTTTCGTAATAAGCAAACAGAAAACGCGTCGAGCCGTCGTATCAAAATGGAGTGAAGAATTTTCTTCAAAACCATTAGTCAAGCAAATCCCATCCATAACAAGACTCCTCCAGCAAACATCGAAAAAACCGGTACTCCCCACCTATCCCGCTACTTCCCCAGAATCGGCATTAGAGTTCTATAAGGGGAACTTGGGGAACTTGGGGAACAAAAACGTACGATAAAACAAATAAATAAAGAGGCAAGAGTACATCGCGAGAGGGTTATGTAGGTACGTAAATGAAGAAGAAAAGCAAAAGTGAACCTGCGAGTGATTGCGATTGGGTAATCGCACGAGCGTCCGTCTCGTCAATGATGGTTTTAAGGTAGGTAGTAATTGGCGTGCGTTAATATTCATAAATGTGAGTTCGTGTGTGGGTGTGTGTGGTCGTCGGTAGATAAAGTTGGGCATGGATCAGTCTCGGCGTTGTAATCGTGCGCCCGCCACACATTTATATACCATCTTCGTGATCGTTGCGGTAGGTGACTCCCTCGTGGCTGTGGGCGCGCCCGAGCCTGTGCAGTCGCGCCATTTGGGCGGCGATCTTGTAGTCGGGTGGCACCCGGCACTCAACGACACTCGGGCGCATCTGCCGTCCGAGAGGCGGCGGCAGCGGCGGTGGCGGCATGCAATTGACCGTCATCCCGACTCCTGCACCACCTGAAAACCCTCGCCGATTCACGGTCTTTCTGCCTGTGAGCGCTTCGGGGACGAGGAAGGACGGTGGAAGGGGTTGGTATTGCTTGGTAGTTGGTAGTTTCTGGGGGGGGGGGGGGGGGGGGTGGCGCG